CCCGGAGACAACATAATATAATATAATATAATATATTATAGTGCAAAGTTGTAAGTGGATTGCACAGGTATATTGCACAGGCCCCGGAGACAGTAGTTCAAAAATTAAAAACATACATGTATATACAAAGCCATTAAAGTGTGCATCATACATCAAAACATCACAGAAAACTACTTCCAAGACAGAACAAGAAACAAGGGTAAAGGAACATAACAGAGACAGATATATATATATGTGTGTGTGTGTGTAGATGAACTAATACATCAGATTATGTAAATTAAACTAAACAGTACCTCAAATTACACATGTCACAAAGAACATCACATTGAATGGGTGCAACTCTTGTTGCCGTAGATAAGGGCCCCACATTTTCATGAAGGTATCTCGTCTATCAGCTTATCACGTAGTCTTTCACAGGAGGAAATCTGGGCCGTTTTATCTAGAGATTTCTTCACTGCCGATATCCCCTTTAGTTTTCCAGTGTCGCAGCACTACCCTGCATCTAGTGATCAGTTGCTATTCTGCACCGTGAGATCTGGTGAGCATTTAGACCGCTCCCCTTCAGTATCAAGTGTAATAGACCGAGCAGTGGTCCCTGTAGCAGCCAGTGCAGAAGTCAAGTCCCAAGTCTTGATGATACATGTGCAAGTTGTTTTCCTTCAGCGCTGTTTGGAAGTGTTTTTTAGATAACTGAGACCATTTATTTTAACCGTGTTCAAGGTGTGTGAATGTGCCAGTCCTCTACCAGGTCCAAACTTAGGTGTAGTTTAAAGTCTCATGTAAGTATGTTAATGTACAAGTTTAGTCCAAGTCTCAAGCGCACGGTTCTTGGTGACTCAGTAGCGTGGAAACAGGACAGCACCTCATGTATCATGTCGTGTTTCAATCATGTACAACAGCTTAGTGTCAAATGTTTTTTGAGATTTCTACCACTTGAATCAGCCACAACATTAAAGTACAGCTCATCTAACTGTCTATTCTTGTACAAGATTGACTACAATTAATACATTTCCAAACTCACATCCAGTTTCTTCCACATTACCAGAGTTTTAAATGCTAAGCCAATTTTAATAATAAATATATAATATAAATAAATAAATATTTTAAATGACTGATATGTCAGTTTTTCCCTCATGTGAATACAATGATTTTGGTGTCACCACAACTATGCTATTATCATAAAAGGTAATATACTCAAATATACATCAGAATCACATGTACTGTAAAACTAACACAAAAAAGAGTGTCTGTGCAACTTATTTCATGTATTTTCATTTGTTTCTTAGGTGGAGATTCTCGCAGGAAAGGACAAAGGAAAGCAAGGAAAAGTGATCCAAGTCTTCAGACACAGAAACTGGGTTATCCTGGAGGGGCTGAACACAGTAAGGAAGTTGGAAATGTTAGATTTTGATCCAGTCACTGTTGTCTAGCAGAAGGATTAGAAAAAGTTTCAACTGTTATCAGTTCTTTACATAATATATAATTTATATAATTTATATATTTATTTAGATGCCAGATTGCTGCAGATCGCCAGGCAGTGCACTCTGTCTGAACATCCCAATGGTTAACATGGGCACTGATGCTTCTGCCTCCAAACAGCTCTTCGTGTGCCGAGAGCCAGGAAGAGGGCACTGTTAAAGCACCTTGAATAATCACTTTGATAAAACACTCAGTACAGAGTGTGTCATAGAAAAAGATAGAAATGAATTAAAGAGGTCAGTGTAGCTTAACGAATGTAGCCTAGGGACAAATATTACTGGTGCCACTACAGAAAATTGCAGATGAACATTTAATATCAAGGGATTGACATTATAGACACTCCCACTGACCATACATACTAGGTTTTAACTTTTATTGTTATTGTTTGTTTCTCCGAAAAGTAAAGTAAAAAGAGGAGATTTTTATTATTATATGTTTTATTTTTTAGCTCCACCAGATGGAGCCAGTGTATGGGCTTAGGGTCCAACTGCTGCACCACAATAAGCTATTTGGCCACCACCTGTTTGGTTGGTTGTGAACAATTGTTTTCTGTCTTAGCATCACAGGTATATTGGAAAAACTGGAGATTACCGTGGTACCTACTTAGCCAGCGAGGCTCCCATTTTGGTCCGAGATGTCGCCCTCATTGACCCCACAGACAGGTACAGTAAACCTTGTGGCTATGCACATGCACACCCACCTCAGGACCTCGACAATAGCTGAACGACGAAGGTTAGCAGGTTAACAATCTTTAAACTACTTTGATGACGTGCTGATATTGATCCTCCAGGAAACCCACTGAGGTGGAGTGGAAATTCACAGAGGAGGGCGAGAGAGTCCGAGTGTCTCTCAGGACGGGTCGAATCATTCCAAAACCTGTTGTGGAGCGACGAGATGGTATCGTGCCACAGCAGTGGAAAGGTGAGTGTGTCTGTGTGTGTTTTGACTGGAGGGGGATTCTTCTCAGTAACCAGTTTATTCCATGAGTAGTTAAGAGTCAGCACATAAAACTGGCTCTCCTTCATATTTCCACCCTGTGCAGACTTGAATACTAAAAATAAATTTCTGAGTGATGCAGTTTGATTGTTTTATAGTGGAAGAAACACATTTCTTTCTAAACTATAAGACACATGGGAAGTGTTGACCTTTACCAATGTTGAACAGCCTTCAAAACTTAATTGTACTCTCGAGGTATGCTCGAAACTAACTTGTTTGTACGACGTGTCGTCTGACCACATCTGAAAGCAAAGGTGTTTACAGGTTTTACAAACGCCACACTAAGAAAGAGAGAGGGGCGAGACGTGTTGAATTGTTCAAACAGGGAAAATGGTAGCACACTTTTGGACTGTTTGTTTTCAACGTGATTTGTGGTGTTGAACTCAATTCTACAAAAAGTGGCTGAAACTGTTTGAAGAATGGACCAAAGCTTGAGGGAGAAATTTAAATTCTGCATACTGTCTCACCTCCACACACCTGGCCAGTCGCTGCATCAAGTGGGCCTTAATGTCGAGTTGTTTCTCTTTTGAAGAGAACATCTTCAGTCTTTTGTCTTAGGCTGTTCAGACCAGCCGTCTTTAATGTTTCCACCCTTTGCAGACATGAATTCCAAAAATAGGTTTAGGTGATGTTAGGTCAGAGTGATTCAGTTTGATCGCTTTACAGCGGATGAGGTATTTCTTTGTAAACTAGAAGACATGTGGAGAGTGCAAACCTTTAGAAATGCTGAACAGCCCTCCAAGACATCATTCCTTTTTTATGTTAAATATTTAACTTTCTGTTGGTTTATTTTGTCAAAGTCTTTGCTTTTTGGTATTCAAGTTTAATATATTTTGGCAGGTGACTAGCTTTTATTTCTGCCCTCACAGACGGTCCCAAAGACACAAGTCCAGAAGACACTCTAGAAAAGACCTTTGTACCATCTCTGAAAACTCTGGAGGAGGAAGTCATGGAGAAAATGGGCATCCAGGAACCCAGAAGGAACCGAAGGTCCTACTGGTACTGACCAGAGAAATCAGAGACACTCAGGCCTCGTTGTGCTATCCAGTTTTCACCGGGCCTCTGAAGACACCATGTTGTGGTGGGAGTCGAGCAGAATAACATGTTAAAAAGAGACCGTGTGAGGAAGACATGAGTAAGGCTTATGGACTGTAAAATACTGGCGCAACATACATATTATTGAGGAAATGATAGCTTTGTGTAAATATGAGGCAGTGAAACAGATGTGCAAACAAAGTTGATAACAGACCTGAAACAATGTTTCCTGAATGGGTTTCAATCATCCTCTATTTACAGTGCTATCAGAGTTTGTATTATGTTTCTTTCTTTGTAAGGGTTATTAAATGTCACACATAAACCAATATAATGGCTTGAACTTTGATGTATATTGGAGTTAACTAAATGTTTCAGTAAAGGATCTTATTATGTTCTCTAACAACAATACTATTAAACCACAAGATAAGATATAAACACTTTTAAACTTAAAATATACTTTAATTTAAATTTAACAAGACTTTTGGTCTCCATTAATTTACAAGCACGAGAGCTATACATTTTCATTTGCTAAACTTGAATTTTAAAGCTGCCCTTATCACTATTTTATATTAACAGTGATGACTAATGTGGAGAGAATTATTATCAGACTATGCGGTTCACTTGAGCTCAGTGGAGTGTTTTTTTTTTCAGTGTACAAGTGACTAGAAAAATGTATTAATGCAGGTTTATTTTTCCAAAACTTAAAAGGTTTTGCTGTGAAAAATGAGCATCAATATACAGTCATTTGGGAGGAAAACGTTTAGCAAATTTTCCCACCCTAAGCAAATACTTTACAAAAAAATATTCATTGAGCAGGAATGAAACATTATTAAGTAGATAAGAAACTTATGAAAACAGCATTTCAGCTAACATGACCATGTTGAGTAAGCTTGTATCAGTGTAGACATTACAAGAATGGTGAAAACAGTAGCCTCCTTCTCAGTGATAATAAATCACTTGACATTTTGTGTTGTTGAATGCTTCGTATATACTGTGCAGTCTGCATGATTGGAAAATTATTCTTGCTATTGGCAGGATTAATAATGGTAATCGTTGCAGCCTGTTTGGATTATTCATAAGGCTGAAAATAGTCATATTATTTTACAAAAGCCCAGACATGCCTCTCTCCAAAGCCTTTAGACAAATGAGTCTCTCTTTCCAACGTGTCTGGGAAACAGTGTGGAGAAGGAAATGGCATAGGAGGAGACTACACAGACTGGATAGTTTCAACAAAGTTTTCACTCACCTCATTTGACTTTTTATACACTGGCTCTGCATGTTATTCCTGGGATATGTGACCGGTTTTGCATCAGGTTTCAAAAATGACCTCACCCTTGAATTTATATGATGAAGTAAGTTTGTTAAACTAAGAAAAACATTTCAGACTTTATAGCAAAAATCACTGTATATTTAAAAAGATTTCAGTTTCTTGTTCACTTTTGCACCCTGGTTTTTAAGTATATCTGTAATTGGATTTAAATCAATTGATGTAATGACAGAATGTGAATTAGGATCTGAGTTAGCTACCCAACTTTTTCACAACTGACATGAACTTTAAGCAGGAAACGCAGTGAAAACAGTAAAAGTAATGATGGCTGGATTTCATTTATACAAGCTGTTTCCTGTATTGTGCTTGTTGACTCACTGGCTTACTGAGATACCGCAATGGAACAGAGCAAATTGTTAATGTTATTAGTTATAGTTAAGCTTTCCCTGCTAACACATCTATTGAAACGTTAAGAGACATTTTATATACAGCAGCTCGTGGAGAAGGATTGAATATTATTTATTCACTTAAGCCGCTCTCTCCTCCCACAACTTAAAGTTATACACATTCAGGATCTTCAAACACCTTTAGACAAACCAAAAGAATCCTCCGGTTCCTGACGTGAACTGCAAGGTTCAGTCACCAAGGTTAAAATGTTTTATTAGCTTCAGTTACTTACTGTAATGCAGGAAATGCACAGGTGTTACTAATAACACTAAACATAGCTTTGTTATATTCAAATGTACCAGTAAGCCTTAAAGTGAACCATAAACCAGAAGACATATCATCTATATTGTGTCTGGGAGTTTGGAGATTTTAGGACTAATATAACTACATTTCTGACTGTTATCTATAATAAATAGATTGAGTATTTTTTAGGCATCATGCAAACATGTACTGAAAAAATATAAGGTACAGTTAAATAGATGAAGAAAATGTCAAAGAACCAGAAAATATTTTGCAGGCTTTTTTTGGTAACTAGTCACTGACAAGCAGGGTTGCACTCATGACCTCAGTATTTATATAATCCTGCTCATATAAATTGATTAAATAGTGTTTTTAACTTTTAAGGGCTGCCACCCTTTACAGTAACACTCCATAAATAAATCACCTAAAATAGCCTTTTATCGCTATAAATATCCAGTTTTATGTGAATCTATCAAAGGGAAGCCCAGTCTTCTTTAAGCTCACCCTCAGTTGTACATTTATCTGTGATATATGAGGGAGGTGGCCTATGAAGTGTATGAAGTCTCTTTTTCCCCGCTGGTTAACCACCAGTTTTGATTTACCGAAAGACTAGGTTAACTTGCTGCCAGATCTCCAGCTGTGGAAGCAACTAACTTTGTTGCCAGGGAGTGACACAAAAAAAACGATGTGTCACAGATAATATAATTGTGTCAAAATTTCACAGTGGCTCTTTATACCCTAATTTCTGGTTAGTGCAGTAACATCATGCAGAAAGCATGGCAAATCGTTGGTTTGGCTGGTGAGTGGATGAGTGCAACAGTTTTCCCAGACTCGTTCCTCCTGAACCGGTTTGCCTCTGCCACTTTGCATCCAAGAGGGAATAAAAGCAGCCAGTCAGCGGAAACAGGGTTTTGAGGTTTTACTTTTATGGGAGGAAAAATGATTCAAAGGCTGGTCGTCTTTCCTGTCGTTGCATGAGCGTTGTATGGATTTCAGTCTGGGATTACAGCAAGGTGAAGTGTAATGTTGGTGAAGTAGAACCTTTGTATTGCTTCATTTGTCTTGATTTTCTCCATTGACACACTTAAAGTACTGATTTATGGCCATCTTAACTTGTGCAGGGTAGAATGAGTTTTAAGAAGGCCCAAACTTGTAATTTCTACTTTGTGGTGAGTTGACAGCAGTTCTGGTAACCCAGTTAAATGAAACCACTAAACATGACTCAAGCAGAATTAAGAATACATAAAAAATAAACTGCAGGCTTTGTATTTTAGCTGAGTCACATTTGCTTCTCAGCCACGTAACCTAATGAATCCCACCTGGTGGTATAGGTTGTACGTGTCAGAGTCAAATTCACTAACAAAAGTGCTATTGTTTGTTCATCTAGGATTACAGTGTGTTAGTTTCAAATAACTCACTTAGTACTATCTCTTTCTTCACCTCATGGACTATTTGCAAATTTGTGCAGATTTTTGTTTAAAAAAGAAATAAAGATTTCAGAAACTCACCTTCTTCAGTGACATTATAATCTCCTTTTCAGAAACAGTGATTTGTGATTGCTTGAACATCTCCAGAACATCTGAAGACACTTTAAATCTAAATTTGAGTGTTGCTCTTGACTCACTTGATGATCTAAGCTCAGCTACAATATAATGATAGTGTCTAATTATAGGCTGGTTGTTTGAAGGGCTGCTGGAAAATGTAACGTTAGCTTGTATGCAGGTCTGAGGCATGGCTTGCATGCATGTTTAACTATGTTTGGTCTAAATTAGTTGCTCTCAGTGGATTTTTGTATATGACCTCAATATGTTACAGTAAGGAGCTGAAAAGGGAAGGTAAAACACTGCTCTTATGTTTCCTTTTGGACTTTAATTCCCTCATCCAGATTTGATTTATGAGTTTTTATGTTCAGTTTAATTAATTCACTTAATTTGCAGAGTTAACAGAAAAAAAGCTAAAATACTAAAATTAGTATAAGGTTTTCAAGATATTTCACAGATGTAGTTTGTAAGACTATGGCAAAAAATAAGACACATGTATCTGTGGTAAGCATAAACTTGTCTATGTGTCATACTGGAAATGATCCTGTAGTCGAAATGTTAAGCAAACAGTAAAATATCTTTCCATTGGTGTTTAAAGGAATGACGAGTGAAAATGTTGTTTGAGGATAAGTTCTCACGTATTTACTTGGACAACAATGTGGATAAAAGTGTGAGTGAGAACAGTATATTCTCAATTTATGCCCCAATTTTTTTAATGTAAAGAGACCCATCCAGCAAAGGGGTGTTATAATCAGTGTCAAGACTACTCTTGCACATTTAATTCAACCAAAAATGGGCCAGTAGCATCTGCATATTGTTGCTTAACTTGTGATTGCTTGACCTCAGGCAGTGAGGATCCGTATGAAATTAACATTAGCCACAGAAGAGCTGCAGATTTTGCAGTCGTTACTGGCCCACAGACGGGTAGTACTGGGGCCAGTATTACTTATTCCTTACTCCAGGGGTCTCATACTCAAATTGGCTTGGGGCCACTGCTGATCTCATAGTTTCTCATAGTCTCACTTCAACATTCAAGTACTACAAGAAACGCAATATTCTGAAAATATTCTCATTACTAACATCTTACGTAACAAACAAATGCTGACAGCCATTTCTTAACATTTTTATATCATAATTTTATATCATCTTTGTTGCCCTGCTCTCTTCTTATCAGCCATTTGCAGACACCTTTGCTATTAATTTATGCCAAACGAAATACATTTTCAAAAATACAATTGCATTTTCATTTCAATCATATGAAGGAGTAGTTTAAACTGATATGAAACAACTATTAAAAAATAAATAATAATCTTGCGGATTATATTATATTTTGACTACGTGTCGATGGCCAGAGGAAGCAGTACGGAGGGCTGGGAATGGACAGTGACAGCGAAGATTTCAGTCATATCACAAAGATCTTCATCAGCAGTTGAGGTTTGCCCAGTTGTCATGAAATTGCAGATGTTCAGATTTACTTTTTTTTTTTTTTTTTGAGACTTCTCTTTCATGTTGGCCCAAACTGAGTCTATGTAACTTTGGCTAAAGCAGCCAGTGTGGCCACAAGAGGTAATTACAGGATAACGGCACTCTGAATTTCCTTTTCTCAACATTCTCGAGTCAGTTGCTTTAAAGACATCATAGGTGACCTGCTCCAGAGAGGAGCCGCAAAGACAGCCAACTGATGCAGAAATGTCATTTATACAGAAATATCTATCTGAAGTTTGCTAACATTAGCCGCCATAAGCTATTGGTCATACCAGGCCAAGTAGGATAGTAGCAATAAAACCTGAGTGTATTCAACTTGAATGCAAAAATGTGTTTTATAGAAAGCTTAAGTGACGCATTTGTTCCACTAGCTTCTTTTATTAAATGCAATCTCTCATTCAACATTTGCCGCATCATCACTTGGTTACGTCCATATCCATTAAACTCTCCAACACTATAAAGTCTATAAAGTCATTTTCTTCCAGTTTTGTTGTAATCTATGCTGTCTAAAATGATGTCTGAGCTAACCGCGGACCCTCCATGGACTCGTCTCTTCAGTCGAGCTGTGACATTTAATCTGGAGTTTGGAAAATGATGTTTGTTAACAGCCACTATAAACCATAAATATTAAATAAACAATGATATTAGATTGTTATTTAAAAACTAATGTCCTTTAAACAGGCTTATCTGAAAGGCTCTGTTACAAATATATATTATTAATATTGTTGTCCATTTGGATCTTAAATGATGTTTGAACAAAAGCAGTTCTGGTTTTTACTTCAGCTTGCTTTTTGCTGATGAATTTGACTTTTCATTTATAAAAGGGAGATTGGGTTATATCTTCTTTTAAAGGTTAGTTACACATAGTCTCATTTTTAAAGTTAAAGTTCAGTTGAGGTTCATTCTTGACCTTGAAGAAAGATCTATTTAGATGCTGTGCTGCAGCTTTCTATCTCATCACAAGATCTTCGTCAGCGAGATATTCTCTCCCCCACTCTACAGTCAGAGTCAAAGGTCAGATGTGAAGCAGCACTCCTGACGTTGATGGAGGTTGTTGAAGACAGCCTCTTCTGGACTGACTCTTTCTATCACTGCAGTTTCTGCTTTAGGGAAGGTCTTCCTTTTCACTTTACCACCCTGTGGTTGAAGACAGGCAGCAGGATGATGTCTTACAGTCCGCCAAACTGCTGACTAGACTTAATCTGGGTCAGTGTGACAGTCAGTCAAAGCTGGACCATAAAGCACACCTCTGATCTTTGTCTGCTCTCTGAGCTTTGACATTTCCTTGCCAGACAGTCCTGTTGGTATCTGGGTGTCAGATTCCTCAGGTGTGAAGCACCAAACCCTGCTGCCCGAGCCACAGGACAGACACTACAAAGCACCATTCACTCTGTCTGACTGGGGAAAGCGGGCACCTGCTCAAGATCCACACCTGAAAGGGTGAAGGTGTCAATATGCTTTGAACAAATTGCTTGTCAGAATGTTGAACAGCATCTGAACTCACTTCCAGCAGCAGTTTGTCAGGAGTGCGGAGGTGCGACAGGCAGGATTTGAATTTTCTCACAGTTATTTTTATTCTTCAAACTACTTCCGTCGCTTTTTGTTTAGACAAACAAGTGCGTCACCATGAATGCCCTCCAGGAGAAACTGTCTGAAAGTGTGCATCATTACCCCCATTTGTGGTTGGGTTGTATACTTGAAGATGACATTGAGAAACGATGGTTGGTGGGTGGGGAAGAGATGTGGTCAAAGGAACCCGCAACTCATTTTTGCTTTGGTTCCCCTTGCATGTTAATCCGGTTGTGGACAGGACCACAAATGCAGGTTTTATTGCGCTTCAACAGCATTTATATTAACCATCTGAGTTAGTTCATTCACTAAACAAGTAATTAACAATAGTTTAAAAGATAAAGGATGCAGTATTTCTGCTTTTATACTCCACTACAAGTAAAAGTCCTGCAGTTCTTTCAGTTTAATACTGATGCCTCTATTTGACCTACACAAACATACAAGGCCATCAGTGAGAAGATTGGCTATATCTAGGTTATAGGTTGGATTTCTCTTGAAAAGGATGGAAGTGATGTAAGGAGGCGGTGAAAACACAACCGCTTTTGTCCACAGGGGCCGCCATCAACACAAAATGAAAGTTTCCTGTAGGGGCTTTAAGTATCAAAAGTAAAAGTACTCATTCTAAAGTGAAATGCTCCCAGTCAGTGTTTTACTAATATACATGTTTTTGGATTAATACTACTGCTGCATCAATATGTATTTTTCATTTTACTGCTGTAGATGCTTAAGGTTGAGCTCATTTGAACTACTTTATATACTGTTAGGTAGTTTAATCTACAGCAATCAGCTCATGTGACAATTAATTTTTTCCAGCTAATCCAAAAGGGATCTCAGCCCATAAAGGAATACTTCCAGTTTATCAGAAACTCTCACCTTCAATTGTAATCTGAAAAGTGACTAATAACTAAAAGTAATAAAAAGTACAATATTTGCCTCTGAGATGTAGTGGAGTAGAAGTATAAAGTTGCATGAAATGGACATGCTCAAGTAAAGTAGGCTACTACTACCTGGATTTGTGGGCTACATAATTAAAGTGCTTGAGTAAAGGTACTTAGTTACATTCCACCACTGCTATATTTTGACATACTGCATTGAGTTTATTGGTCTCAAATCAATGCTGCAGATTGAAGTTGTAAATGGCTGAGCAGCTGCTGCTGTGGTCTATCACACAAAGACTGTTCCTCTGCAGGATGCTGCAAACTGATCACACCTCCAGTAGTGATACATGCAAAGTTCTTCAAGGTGATTTAAGAAGACCAATAGTCCACTTATTGGATGTAGAAGAGGTGTTACTGTCGGCTCCCCCATCCTCCCCCTTCTCCAGTAGGTGACTGTGCTGCAATCAGTACCTGCAGCAGCATCAGCAGCTGGCTGCTGACTCAACTCACCCTGCTTTCTCCAAATGACGCTCAATGCATTTGTCGTTTGCCTGCAGGGAAATATACACATATAGGTCATCTCCTGAGTGCAGGCTTCACTTCATAGCCTATAACATCGGTTATTTTAGATGTCATCCCTCCCAGTGCCCCTTGACAGGCATGCGCCATCTCCATCCCGATTGTTGGGGGGAAAAGTGGGCAGTTCAGGATTTCATATCTGGCTTCACTTTCTCTCAACTCCCTCCTTTTCTCTCCAAGCCTCGGAGTCGGTCGGACAGCAGTCCCAGCTCCCTCATACCTGCGCAGAGCATCTAGAGCCGCTTTCCTCCCAACAGGACAGTCGCACTGCACCAAGCTGAGAGAAGCTGACGGAAAATACTTTTTACAGCCAAGAAGTCAGTCCATCCTGCATCAGCTGAAATGCTGCTGTGCAGAAACCGGTAGGTTTTTGTTTATGTTGGGATGTTTTGTTGATAGTACGCAGTCGATGCGGTTTTGGTCGAAGTTCGTTTAAATTTATAATGTCATGTTAAATTACTGTGCCATTTAAGAAAATTACCATCTTTACCAGTTAATTGTATTACAACAGTTGCTGTCCTCAGAGGAGGTCCTGAAGCTGTGGCCACTAGTTCCCTTTCTCCCCAGAAAATGTATTTTTAAGGAACTGACGCACTTAGTATAAGTATAACTTTTTTGTAATTGGCTGTGTGTGCTTTTTTCCTTGTGGGTATCTTGCACAGCATGAAACCCCCCACTGTGATGTAGCAGAGCATGTAGCTGGTGGTTTCTGAACAGCTTTTGCCTCTTCCACCTTCTCAGGATTGTTAAATGATTGTGAAGCATTGTAATGATTTTTCACACCTGTGAGCATGAAAATTCACATTAAACTGAATAAAAAACGGTGACAGCTACTTAAAACTGACTCACTTTTCTCTGCATTTATAAAAAACAACCCTAATGTGATCCAGTCAACTGCAAAATTATTTTTTTGATTAGATTTTTTTTTCTGGGATTAAAACAAGGATGCTGAGGATTTAAGCTTTAAAATGTTGTTCCTGTGACCTGCAGGGGACACGTGGAGCTGCTTTTTGTCTTAAGTGCACACTCTTCTGTGAATTTTCTCCACCTCAGGGCTCAGGTGCACTTCATTAATGGAAAGGTAGAGAGACAGAGAGAGAAAGCAAACTGAAGAATAAAATGTCCTCTAAGGATACTTCTCTTTCATTTGATGGACCAGTGGTCTGACATTAAGTGGAGCAACTAAAACTCAGTGCACTCATGTAGGTCTCTGGCCTTTTCATCAAACGTTTACAAAATTGTTATTTTTAAATCTTGAATTTGGTAGTTGAGTGTTGATGCTCAACTACCAGGTGCAAAATAAAGTGTCTCTTCATGATTTTCTATATTTTTACAGATCAGACCCAAATTTTAGTCTTAATATTGGTTGTCTGTAGAGATACATTTTGTTAACTGGCTGGGAGGGTGTGCCCAGGGGGCGGATCTAGAGGGTGGCAGCTGCCACCCCTAAAACATCCCTGGGCACTCCAGCTGCCACCACAGTTTGGTGTCAAATTTAACACAATAATGACAAGATTAATTTTTAAAATAACTTGTTAAAAAAATGAAATTAATTGAATTATATGTTATGGCCGCATTTAAACCAAGTGATGGCTTACAGTAAGTTCATTGAAAACATACTTTAATTTGTAAAAATGTCTTGGGTAACCTTTTTAAATAGAGTGCTGGTGGCTGGTACGATGATTTAGAAGCTGAAGAAGTGGCTGAAACCAGAGTCATTATTGAACATGAGTTGCTTCTGCATTGTTCCCTGCAACATAATTTAAGTAATTTAAATATTCAAAATGAATGATAGAATAAATGGCAACTCAGGATAGTAAATATCAGGTAGAGCAACTCAATACAAATGTTAAATTACAGTCTCAGAGGATCTATGCAAAATAATACTGCAATCGCACAAATGAGTCCAAAAGAAGATACAGATGGTACGTTGTCTGTTGTCGTTTTACTCATACAGATTATTATGAGGTTTATAGATCCTTATGAAAAATGGTTGATTCATATCTTTGTTTTTAGCCTTTGGAGCAGAACATAAACTCATCAGTCAAAGCTTGTAAGACCATGAACATGCAGTACAATATGGGGTTTCAAATTTTAAAAAATAAGATGGGGTTAGACTCAAAACACATTCTAGAACAAAACAAAACAAAACAAAACAAAAAACTGAGGCGGTCACAGATGTTTATATATAAAAAATACATTCTGTAAGGGTTGCAGCGTACTATATATCTCCTTATTTGTGGCAATTTAGGGTTTTGTTGATTTGTTGATCTCTATATTTATTTGGTTAATGAAAACCTTTCTTTAGCCGTTGAAGAGTGTATTTGCTTGGTCTTTGAAGGCTGACAGACTTGTGGTCAGTCCAGGAACTTGTTGAGTCAGGTCTGAGGTCAGGTGTTTATTTGAAACATCCTTTGGCTCTTTCTCAGGCACACTGGGTGGTGAGTCGAATGGTGGGTGACTTTTCCAAAGTAGCCATCTTGTTGGGAGTCAGACAGTGGGTTTAGAGGAGATGTCTGTTTACTGGGTGGGGTTTGGGAGGTGGGGGATGCTCTGAGTAAGTGCAACTCCAGGAATATTTTGATGTGTTATATTTGATGGTGCAGGGAGCCAGAGGGGTGGTGTTCAGTGAATAGCCCGTTAGGTAAATTCAGATCAACTTACTCTACTCTTTGGCATAGAGTACAATGGCTGGCACTGAAATACACACTGTGGAGATGGCTGTGCACCACCTGGAGCCTGCAAATTAACAGACCTTGCTAAGATTAAGTTTAGGTCATCTTCCTCTAAAAGACAGCATCCTGTCAAGATTCAGTCTTCAGAGTTATATGGAGACTCAGTTGGATGTTCTCATGCAGCTTCTGTGTTGAATATAAGTAATTTATGGGTGACTTTTTCTGGTGTTGGGTGCAAGATTTTGCAGTATGAGTCTTTGGTGATAATTGCTCCAAAGATTCAAAGTCTGGTTACCGGGAAGGTGTCATCAGCATAGATGAAGAGTCTGAGTCTACAGAGATAAATTAGGGTTGAAGCAAGAACTTATCCTTGTGGGAGCCTTTAATCTGTCTATATAATTCTTTATACACTTTAAATCAAATAAGGGGAAAATGCTAACCTCTGCTTATTTCATAGAAATGGGATTGTTTCTGATAGAGAATGCTTTTATCATTAAGCCATAGAGAAAAAAGCAGTAATAGATTGCAGAAACAAATGCTAAAAATTACGGCATAATAAAGAGCTATTTTTAAAGAGATTGCTGTTTTTTGAAGTGGGCTTGTATGAGCCACTTATCCATATCCAATTTATTACCTACAGTAGACAGCAGTCAGCACACCTCCATTTGGAGAAGCAGACAGGAGACCAGCACATAAGCTAAGCAGTGTTCTGCTGTAGGTAGGCGAAGCAACCAAACATTTTTAGGCACCAGTAAAAAGGCCCACCTAAAAAAATCTATATCAGTTTAAGTGTACACTATATTTAGAATATTTTCACCGCTTTACCTTGCTGTCACAAAGCCCTTTCCAACGGGAAACTGAAGTCATCTATGCTCTCTCCAAACCCACCAGACTAAACCAGAAATAAATGCTAATATTTTATAAGGAGTACGATCTATTGTCTCTATATGAAAAGTTTCCTGAGATAACTTATGTTATTAATTTCCGCTATGCAAATAAATTCAATTGAATTATCTGGTAATTTAAATGTCTACACTGCCACTTCCTCTTCTTACTCTGATAAAGATATATACTTTATGTTGAAACATAATTAGCTAATAAGATCTTACTATAAGTAACTTGCTATTGACTTCAACATCCCAGATCCTTAAGTCTTAAATCTCCTGTTTGATGAGGTTTTGGCTCCAAGTTGGCCAATACAAGGAAATACCTTTATACACTTTCCAGCTCAGCACTGTACAGAACCAGTCAAACTTGTATTTCTGTATGTCTGACCTGGCTAAACTGGGATCAGCAGTCATTTACCAGTTTGTTGGAGGAGACAGGGTTTGCCTGAACTGACCTTGATGCAGAGTACTGCAGAGGCCACCCACAAGATGTAGTGAGTGAGCTTTTGTTGTCAGTGCAGCACTGACAAGGGTATCGACATCTAATGTAATGTTCCTTTTTACTATCTTTTACTATAATTGAGTTTGACAATGTTATTTTAACCACTGATGACCAACATGTCAGACTGCAGCTGTACTGCTTGTGGAGGAGACTGGATTAATTCAGCTTATGGATAATGCACTGTCTGCAGTTTCTAGACCTGTAAATGCAGTGGGTGGCATTGATTTTAGCTTGACTTGTCTTCGCTTTTACTCTCATTAAAAAGAGCAGAACCGCAGAGTGCCTGGTGACAGTGAGGCCAAACACTTGAGTGAAAAATGTGACCTAAAAAAGTCAGAAAATAATCAGCAGCAACCAGAATTGTCTCTCCTGTCATCAATGTGAATGCACAAAGTCATATAGTAGCCCACTTTCACAACAGTTCTTCCATTTAAAACAGTGTGCAGTGTCTTAATGTGGCCGTTCCCTTTGTACAAAGCCTTCTCCAGAACGACTCGTTAGTGGTTTAAAACTTCCTTCTCCATCCTTGAAAAGAAGAGAAAGGAAAGAGAAAAAGCAAGCAAGTGTGCCAGTGCCCCGTCCTTTAATTTTCCCCCGAGGCCTTTTGTACGAGAGTTGGTATGAAGTGAAAGCACAGTGTGCAGCTGTCCTCCTGGCCCACTGCTCGCTTTTTGTGAGTCGTTTTCTTGTCAAGAATACTAATAGTGATACCAGCACTGTGGAGTCCACCCAGCTGGCGACGAAACAGACAACAATTATTCTGCCATCAACGAAGGCCATTTAATTTTGACACAAGTTAGTGAGCTGTGTTTGTGCCGACTCATACGAGGGATGTGTTCCATATACAGATGCAGAAAGATCAACTTTATTAGTGCTTGTTTAACTTTTGGCTCACTTCTGTGGCTCTGACCTTGGTCATATTTATGTGTTTTTTCCTTTATTTACTAGGTTCTTTACCACCTTGAGCACATGTATATATGTATGTCTGTTTAGACGACTAATTTGAGCCCCATTAATGAAGTTGAGTGAGACATACTGCCATCTTATGCCTGTTTGTTAAAACTTCATCTGGACAGAAATTAATGAGGTTGGCACACACACACACACACACATACACACACACTCACTGTACAGTTTTGCTGTCTCAGTGGCCGATTGCTGATGCCAATTATTGTTTGACCGTCAAACAACTTCTTTGTAAAGAATTTCTCTGTCCCTAGAGACAGCAGTAAAAAGTGTAGTACAATTTTGAGGTACTTGCACATTAAAGGTTCAGTGTTTAGGATTTAGAGGCATCTAGCGGTGTAGTTGCCTTATCTACAGCCAGTGCTTGGTTTGTCTGTTCTGGGCTACTGTAGAAACATGGCGGTTCAACATATAAAAGGTTCATGCTAAGGTAACAAAAACACAATGATTCTTATCTATAGGACTTATCTATCTACACTAATGAAAACATCCTCCTAAATGTTACACACTGGACCTTAAATAAAGTACATTTTATTTTGTCCAACTTCATATTTCTGCTACTACATTTCAGAAGGAAACTGGCCATACAGCAAACATATGAGCAGTTTACAAAATAAACAAACACCCAAAAGTATAAAAAGTATTTATAATTGGATCCACATCAACCAGCTACAACATTTAAGTACTTTTTACATGTTAATGCATCAGCAGTAATGATCCAATGATATAACACTGACAGGGGTCACTCTGCATAATGGACACTTTTACTTTTGATACTGTAAATTTTGTTGTACTTTTAGTTAAGAAAAATCTTCAATACAGTAAACTGTAACGGGATATTTTGGTGTGATATAACTTTTTTACATAAGGATCTTCTTTTATTACTTCTTATTGGGCTACATTTGTGTTATTATTATTATTAATCTTCTGATTTTGTGAAAAATCGATTATAAATGTCATAAAATAGTGAAAGCTAATCCTCACAATTTCCCAAAGCCCAAGTTAACGTCTTCACTTGTCCATCCAACAGTCCCAAATGTAGGAATATTCAGTTTAAACATCCAAGAAAACCTGAAAGTAGTTGCATTTGAAAAGCTGGAACCTGTAACTTTTTAGCAGTTTTGCTCAAAAAATGATGATTAGATTGATAGATAGATCTACTAATCGATTCATGATGTTTCAGCTCTACTATCTTATAATCTCTCTTTGAAAATTAACCAGACAAAGAATTAGTTTATAGCTGCTAATTTCATGGAGTGAGATCTATGCAAAACTTGGAACACTTTCAGGTGCAAGAAGTCAAGATTTCCTACCAAAACACGTTTGGGATGTTATATGATAACAGTAATAATATGCAATAAACAGTACTGAGTTTTACACTGCATGTACTATAAATAACTATAACTATACTGTAATAAAAATGATATAATCACCTGAGAAAAAGCACCTTAACATTAATATTTAAAATTGTGCCACAGTTCTGAATTCTTAAGGCACTTTTGACTCTTATCAACCCTGAAAAGTAATTTGGAGCCGGAGCACTGCTCTTTAATAATGAATGAACATTTGCAGCTTCATCATGGCCGCCTCAGGAGGTTGTGTGAGGTCACTGTGAGCGTCCTGCCATGCATGCTGGGTTAATAACAGGGCCAGACTGGTGACGGAGAGCTGGCAGGGTGCCGCTGGGCTGAGACGCCGTGTCATTAGCTCCCGGAGGTGATGAATGGCTTGTGGTCAGGAGCTTGTGCTTCAAACTTCCCTTTGAAAACCAGAGAAGTTTCTCTTTTATACTTTAGAGTCGAGCTTTCAGAGACGTTTTTCAGTATCTTTTGTGTGTCAGTGTTTCATACAGAGATTTCAAACTTTTGTCTATAGAATCATATAGAAACTTTCTGCCAAAATGAACAGGTTACGATGACTTTCTCCAAATGTATGATATATTTATATACTATTATGTAAGCTAAAGCTAAAACTAATGGAGTCTAATACAACAGTTCTGCAATAAATCCTGTCTTTATCTTCAGTTTCTATTCAACTTTATATTCATTTTGTAGGCTTTAGTCTCTTGTGCTGTTGCATTTTCTTGCATTATTCTAAGAGGTTGTTGATAGTTGGTGTTATATATTTTAAGATGTTTTGGTTTATGCTATTTTCAGGGGGTGCCTTTTTACATCTGAAAATTAGACTTGTACACTAATTTTGGATCGTTTCCATTTTTTTGTTCGCCCCATTTAGTGAGAATTATTATGGTTTTCTATTTTTCAATAGCTTTTTATTTTGTTTTTTAATTCGTTTTAGTTCCCAGTCTCAATAAACATATACACCAACGCTGACAAAGACTAAAACTGAAGACAGTTTAAATTAAAATTTTCTATATTTACCTAGTATATAGGAATTCAGATTAAACTATATATATTGGATCAATTGCCATAAAAAACTTTTTATTTTATCTAAATAGATTTATTTATCTCTTTATCATTATTAGCATGCTGACATGCTAAAGTAAGATGGTAAAATCTTGGTATAGCACCGCTGTGACTATGCACAACCTCACAGGTCTGCTAACATGGCTTTAGACTCTCAGTCTTGATTTAATATCTACTCTGAAACGACTTCATTGTGTTTTCTTTCTTTTAAGTCATTCTTCTCCTAATTAAGATCTTAATCCCTCTGTTTTATATGTGCTTTGTGTTTGTTTGTTCTTATACATATCTAATTATAGTGGTACAATTCAGCTCTAAACAGTATTATATTTACATAAAAGCAGAAAATCCTATCAAATAATACAGTAAATGGCTAAACATCTGAACATTAGATTGTAACCTTGAGTCTGTCTCTTCACCCAATACATGTGCAAAGCTAAACACCAGGTAGCACAAAGGTGTGCAGGGTGTGACCTTTACTAATAGCCTATAATAAATCAGTTTGGTGAGATCAGTGGAGCACGTCTCACGACTAGCTGAACCGACACAATACATGACTTCCAGTATCAGAAATCGCTCCGCCCATTAAAGGTTAAACATGTGTGAAATTGGAAACAGAAAATTGGATATAATGTGTGTAATTTTTGTGTCCTTTCTTTCCCTGAGTTTAATTAAGTAATGCTTTATTAATATTTATCTGTGTCATATTTGATCTAATCTTAATTTTTACAGTGTTTTGCTCTTTACCTCCATAGACATGTTGAAATACTTCCACTTCTCGCTGCGGTCTGCAGTCTCACTCTGGCCTTCCCCACCCAAACTCCATCTGCGTTTGGTACGTCTACATTTTCCAATTATCTCTCACTTTCAGCAGCACTAATTCTCATTCAGTTATAAACAAAGAACAGAAAGGTGCATTTAAAAATAAGGCCACAATTCACTATTGTCAGCAGATTTACAAAGCCACTCTGTTCTTCACGCTCTGTTCCTGTATTTTTTTTCTGCAGATGATGTCCGGCAGCTCCAGGTGAACATCCCCCACTCAGGTCCAATTTCTGCCCCACTAGGCAGCTCCATCTCCATCCCCTGCTTGGTGTCTCTATCTTCCACACCCACCTCCTCGTCTTCCTCCCCAGTTGCACCGCGTGTCAAGTGGACTGTGGTGTCCGGTGGGGTGGAGACACAGATCTTGGTGGCGAGGGGTCAGAGGGTGAAGGTCAACGAGGCGTACCGAGACCGCGCTGCCTGGCTCAACTATACTTCCTCCCCTGATGATCTGTCTCTGTGGTTGGGAGATTTACGTTCCAGCGACTCGGGTCACTATCGCTGCGAGGTGCAGCAGGGCCTGGAGGATGCCAGTGACCTCGTACAACTCAAGGTCAAAGGTAACAAGATGAAAGATGTTGATCATCATTGATGTTTTGGAAAGATTTAGGTGACGTGTAGTGTAGTTACAAATGTCATAGTTAAGGACTTTATCGCAGAAAGTTATATTTATCTCATGCGGCTTAATGCTAAGCCAGCCACTAGTATTGGAGCAATGGAGTTATGATGAAGACCTTTAAAATGTGTTGTTATCATGAAGAGTGAGCTGTTGGTTGCTGTTAACAACTGAAAATTTCTTATTTGGTGAAAAGAAAATGTTTTTTTTTCTCAGTTAACATAGCTAAAGTTAACATTTGTAGCTAGAAACAAAGCTATTATTGCGTACTTTGATATCTGATTTATTTTATGAATTCTAACAATGTACATATGGATTGTAGATTTCATGTTATTGTTATTTTGATTATCTGGTATTTAATTCCTGTGTTTTTGTTTAAGATATGGCATTTGATTGTTGACTGTTGATTGATGGATTATCGACTGCTTTTCTCCCTTCTATGACCAGAATAATTCAAAAAGACTGAAATTAAAGCACAATTTCTATGTGCAATGCCAACCATTTAGTCTCTTTCTCATCCTTTCTCTACAACAATTTAATCAGATTTTTAAATAGGACGTTGCTTTCTACATACTTATAATGCAATGTTGTCGACTGCAGCAACCTTCATTAACTGATCCACAGTTATTTGTTTGATAAACTGTGTAATCTGAGAATAAATGTGTGCTTATGTGTGTGTGTTTAGGTGTTGTATTCCACTATAGAGATGCTTTGGGCCGTTATGCGTTCTCCTTCAATCAGGCCCAGAGGGCTTGTGAGGCCATCGGGGCCCAAATTGCCACTCCTGACCAGCTGCTGGCGGCTTATTATGACGGCTACGAGCAGTGTGATGCAGGCTGGCTGGCAGACCAGTCCGTCAGGTATCTCATCACCCAACATTAAAATAAAGCTTCTTGGTGCTCACATTCAGTGAGACACTCAAACCTACCCTTTAAAGGCTGCATCTCTTTATCTAATGAAGATATTGTAGGTGTATTTCTAAAAACTTTTGTTCACATTTCCCCAAAATTCAGCCTGAAGTGTGTTTGGTATTGAAAGGACAGGATCTCCGCTAGAATTTAAAGTGAAGTTTATAAAGTTTAAGAGGTTGTTTCCACTCTTGCAGGTACCCAATCCAAGTTCCCCGTGAAGGTTGTTATGGAGACATGGATGGCCAACCAGGAGTGAGAAACTATGGGACAATGGATCCAGATGATCTATTTGATGTTTACTGTTATGTAGAGGATATTGATGGTATGATCAATAATACCTATTAAAATAACTAAAGCTTGACCTATACTAGATTTTAAGGCCAATTTTGCTATCAGTATTTGAAATAAGCATTGTTTTAGGCCCCACCCTCAAATCACCACCTGGTTATGTCTGTAAAAGCCTAAAATTGGCCAATAATATCAGTACTTATTATGCTATATCTACATATAATCACAAGTAAGTTAATGATCCAACTACATAGTGTACACATGGTAAAAATGTCAAATGTTTTGTGTTTTCTAGGGGAAGTGTTTCATGACTCCATCCCACAGCAGTTGTCATTTTATGAGGCGCAGTCATACTGCGGAGCAGCTGGAGCAGAGCTGGCTACAACAGCACAGCTGTACTTGGCATGGAGTGAAGGTCTGGACCGTTGCAGCCCTGGCTGGCTGTCTGATGGCAGTGTACGCTACCCCATTATACACCCTAGAGAGCGCTGCGGAGGGCCTCAGCCAGGCGTCAAAACCCTCTACCGCTTCAGCAACCAAACTGGCTTTCCAGAGCCATCCAGCCTTCATGATGTTTATTGTTTCAGAGGTGAGTATTTTGTGCAAATTGCATTGGATATGAATCCAATATTATCCATATTATCATGTTTAAAATACATTCAACAAATGTAAAAGATATTCAGATTTTGTTATTAAAATGTATATGCATATAATTAAACTGTCATGATCTAATTTTTAATAACGGTCCTCTACAGATAATAGAAATACTCATACCGACTCTCCCATGGACTATATGGCCACAGAGCCCGAGGACATTGGACAAGATGTTGTTATACTTACTGAAACAGATCAAGAGCTGCAACTGAACCAACATGTACAACACGTGGAGCTCAAAGCTCAAAGGGTGCTTGAATCTTTTCGTCTATACTCCAGCCCTTCCACTGAGGAAAACCTGGTTGACACACACCCAACAGTCATATCAGATACAACAGAGTCTTCCCTCAACACCACACCAACATTGAGCCTCCTGCAGACATCTGATGAAACTTCATCTTCTACAGAAATGAGCTATGACTCCCAGCATACTTCAGCACTGATGAACAGTACTATCAGCACCACAGAAACCCAGAACTCCACACAAAACATATCGTTGCTGTCCAGTGTTTACAATGAGACAGATTCCCACCACAACTTGAACTTCACCTTTCACCAGTCTGAGCTTGAAAGCACCACAGGATTTCCTGAATCATCGTATGAACCTCAGACACATAACCAGACATTTCCAGGCACTAGTCTGGATTTAAATACACAGCCAACTGAGAGCCCAAAATATTCCCAAGAAACACAAGCGAGCAACCTGAGTTTTGACACATCACAAGGCAATTACAGCAAGACAGACAGCAATCATACTCAAGAGGAGAGTTTTTGGGAGGTGACCCTTATGACCCGTGATCCCATGGTTCAGGTGGAGTTGGAGGAGGCAGAATTAGAAGATCCTGGGCAGATTTCTCTCTCAACTCAGGCCTCAGAAGAAGAACTCGTTACACAACCAACACAAACTACAAAATCCTACAATAAGGAGCTAACCTCATTGTTGGCCCATCTGGATGGGTCTGGAGATATTTCTCAAGGTATGTCAAGCAGAAATTTAAATGAGTATAAGTCAAAAGAAAAAACATCAATATCTTGGTGGACTTATTTGATATTTTTGGAAATAAGCCGAGAGTTAGATGCAGCAGCCAGTTAGCTTAGCTTAGCACAAAGGCTTGAAACAGAGGGAAACAGCTAGCCTGGCTCTGTCCTAAGGTAACAAAATCCACCTACCAGCACCTCTAAAGCTCAAAAGGTACCATGTTATATCTTGTAGTAACTATGGCAACATTTACCTCCTGACAGAGCCAGGCTAACTGTTTCCCTCTGCTTTCAGACTTTTTGCTAAGCTATACTAACCGTCTGCTGGTTGTAGCTTCATATTTACAGATATGAGAGTGGTGACAATCTTTTCATATAACTCTTGGCAAGAAAGCAAATAAGAGTATTTCCCAAAATGTCAAACTAATCTTATAATAAATGTATTTACAACTGCAAAAATGCTTTATGCTTTTTTTTCTAGAGAGTGACCTTGATGTCAAAGCAGTCAGCTTCTCCACATCAGAGTCTTCCACTTCAGGTTTCACCACTCACTCATCACCTTCTGCTTCGGCTAGCGGCGCTCCTGCTGAGTCTCAGACTGCACTCCCCGATCTGGCGCTCTCATCTGGTTCACACCATTCTGACAATCTGAGCTTGGATATCCTCTCCACAGCACCACAGTTGTGGGAGTCCTCCATTTCTAGACAAGAGGGAAGTACAAGCATAGAAATGGAAGATACGGTCACTATGGAAAGTGAAGAAAAACAGCTCCACCCGACAAAGTCTGAAGACAACCTCGTTTCTGGGGTAAGTTTAGCTACCACTGAGTCTCCAGAGGGATTGAACACCTCTCAGTTGCCTACTGATCCCACCACGGCATGGTATCATACATCAGGTTACAGAGTGTATTTGGATACTTCGACCACTGGGTATGAAGAGGCAAGTGGACAGGAACCTGGTACAGCTGTTGTAACCCTTGAAGAAGAATTTAAATTTGCTCCAACCATTGAAGATGATGTTAAAGTTAACCTAACTCTTGACAAGGAAGTTACGGTTACCCCAACTCTTGAAGAGAAAGCTGAAGTTTCCTCTTCACTGGAAAAAGAAGTTAATGGTTCCCAAACTCTTACCCATGGAGAAGAAGCTAATGTTGCCCCAACCCTTGCCCTTGAAGAAGAAGCTAGCGTTGTCCCAACCCTTGAAGACGAAGCTATAGTTGCC